GCAGCCTCCACAATCCGCTACAATCGCCTGCAGTTTCTCCGATGCCCTAACTCTAATGGCGTCGTTGTGTTTTTTCCGACGGGACCCAACTCCGATCATGTCGGGTTTCTGGTGGTTTCCGGTGGTGGTTCGGGTTTGCGTGTTCAGGCGGATTACAATGACGAGGTTTTCAGTGTGGAAGGTGAATTTAATTACCAGATTTTTGGGATTTCTGTTAACCCTGTTTCGGGATTGGGTCTTCATGGTGATTCTGCTGTTGATATTGGGTTTTTGTTGGCTTATACTATGTATTCTGTTGAATGGTTTGTTGTGAAAAATAATGCAATTGATTCGAGTTCGCCTGGGGTTAGTTTAGTTCATATGGGTAGCAAGGTTTTTAAGACTTGCTGTGTTGTTAATGCTTGTTGGAGTCCGCATTTGTCTGAAGAAAGTGTGGTTTTGTTGGAGGATGGTAGCTTGTTCTTGTTTGACATGGAGCCTCTGTTGAAGACTAAAAATCTTGATGCGAATGGGAATTTCAAAGGAATTAGGTTGAGGGTGCCGTGGGATAGTTTAGATTGCTCGAAAGAGGTGAAATGGTTGGGTTGTGAGTTCGGTTGGCATCCTAGAATCTTGATTGTTGCACGTTCTGATGCTGTTTTCTTAGTTGATTTAAGGGAGGACGAGTGTTGCATTTCTTGCTTGGTTAAGATAGAGACATTCCGCACATACTCTTTGGCTGAAAAGGAACAATTCCTTGCATTTTCGAAAGCTGGTTCTGATGGTTTCTATTTCTCTGTGGCTTCAAATAGTCTACTATTTCTTTGTGATGTGCGTAAACCGATGACACCGGTATTGCAATGGAATCATGGTGTTGATGAACCTAGCTACGTGAATGTTTTTAGCTTGTCTGATTTGAGGTCAAACACAGGCAATAGTATGTACAAATTAGCTACTGAGTCGGGCTATTGCATTGTACTCGGATCCTTTTGGAGTTGTGAGTTTAACATGTTTTGCTATGGACCTTCCCTGCCAGTTCTTGACCAATCTGTTTCTTCAAGAAGTTTGAAATATTTCCAGTCACTTTATGCTTGGGATCTTCCTTCGAATCTCATATTATCAGGTCGAGAGTGCCCGTGTGGAAGTTGCCTTGTGAGACAAGAAACTTTGAAGGATGCTATTCCTGAATGGGTGGAGTGGCAGCAGAAGAAGGAAATAGTGTTGGGCTTTGGCATTCTAGATAATGATCTCTCTCTACCACTTGCAGGACAAAATGAATTTGGTAGTTTTACACTTGTTAGACTTATGTCATCTGGGGTGCTTGAAGCGCAAACTTACCAAGCTTCTTGGAAATCATTGAAGCGGATAGACGAATCTCATAAAGAATCATTGAATCTTAATGATTATTTATTATATGGGTGGTTGGTTGATGATAAATATAGATTCAGCAAAAGATTCAGGTACCTTAATTTTGACTACCTTTTGGGATATTTAAATGATAACTTAGATGAAGTTCTAGATTCATACATGAGGAAGTCTTGTAAGGATTCTATATGCGAGCGGTCTTTGACCCCGGAAATTCATGAAGTTTTGTGTGAGAAATTAAAAGCTTGTGGGTTTGATCGGTTAAGGTCATCTCCAGCACTTGCTGTTGTATTCAATGACATTAACTTGCCTGCAAGTATAATAGAGATTGCTTTCAGGAAATTGTGGGCAAGCTTACCCATGGAACTTTTACATTTTGCATTCTCTAGTTACTCTGAATTCCTCGAGAACAAGAATGCATTATCTTTAGAATTTTTAAGCATTCCTAGCCTACATCAGTTGCCTCCTTTTATGCTAAGGGACCCTTCGAGCCGCAGTAATAAGTGGACACGTAAAGTGCAGCGAACTGAGAGTCTTGTGGGTCCAGTACTTCCTCTTCCCGTTCTGCTCGTATTACATGAGTACCGTAATGGATGTTCAAAGTTTGAAGAAGAAGAAGCAGGGAAATTTTCATTAGAAGCAGAACTTGGTGAGCAATATGAACAAATCAGGTCTGCAGCTAGTGAGATGGCTGTGTCACCTTTTGAACCTAAGGTTGATTATGGTTCTGTCATGTCTCTTGCTGATGATCGAGATAACGTTTCTGCTGATTCTCAAAAGCCAAAGAATTTTGTTTCATATCACCCATCTGCCTTCAATTGCCATACTTCGAATAACACACAAGGAAACTTGACTAATCTTACCAATGTATTTGATTCCTTAATATTCAAACTAGAAGGGGGAAAGGCTACATCCACTGAGAAGTCTGAAAATGAGGCCAGTAGAGAACTGTATGATGGTCTCTGCCCTGTCGAATTGAAATTTGGTGCTCACCCGGTGAACTTCGGGGAAAAAGAACTGAAGGCATATGGCTTGCTGAAAAGGCAACTGTTGAAATGGGAAGACAGTTTTGATTCATATATGGAATTTTGCTCTAAGATTTGATTTCCACGGTCAGTTTGCTTGAATTGCCGAAGCTTCATTTAAATATCCTGATAAACTATTATAGTATTATGTGAACAAGTAACAGGTATTTGAATGACATATAAGGATTAGAGGTCCTAATTACAAACTCTTGCTAAAACTGGCGTGGAAGAACGAGACGGCGTGGAACTGCCTCAACTACGACCGACTCAAGGATTGTAGAAAAGGTACTATTTGGCCTCTCTTAAAAGGGTACTATTTCTGATTGTGGATTTAAATATACAATAACTTTAACTTCTACCTTTAAAAGTCATCAAACCACTTTAGAAACAGTTGTGTTTCCAAAAATAGAACTGTCAAAAGAGCTGCAACATGTGTTAGTATCTGCTAGATGACTTGTGGTTAAATAATTTCTGCTTCAACTTTGCTGTTCATTTCATTTCATAAGTTACAAAACCCCTTCTAATGTAAATAAAACAAAGCCATAATTTTTAAGCATATTGATGTAGGAAACAATGGATGGACACCTTTGGAATCTATAAGTGGGGACGAGATGAGGATACATACACATTCCCATCAAGTTTTCAAAACGAAGACGATGAAGAAACTGAGTCGAGGAGGAGCACATCTTCTCGAAATGGGAGTCAAGAAGGATCCATTGCCGAGCCAGAGCTCCTTCCTCTCCTCGTCAACCCAAGATTCGGCGAATAACTTCAGAAACTTCTACAGATTTAGGATTTACAAGAAAGTCTCAAACTGTAAAAATTTACAAAGATATATTTAATGATTTCAAAGATCCAAAATAGAAGGGTGATCTCACCAATTCATCAAGCTACAATGATGACATTCTACTTTGTAAGATTCTTCCGGAACAAAACAGTTCCACGAATTCTTTGATACAAAATTGAAAAGGAAAAAATGTAAAATTTAAGCTTATTTTATTTTTTTATATATATTTTTTAAAATAAAGGATACTATCCAATAATATGTTTAAGATGCAAATATAATTAACAATTTTGAAGAATCACGAGACTTTATTGTTATTTATGGGCAATTGATACTGCAAAGAGTAAATTTATGCAATGCCTTGAAATTATTAATGGTTATTGATGACTAATTTATAAATATTATTTTGTAGATTCACAGAGTATATCGAAGAAATTGAGAAAGACTGACAACTGGTTAATAGTGGTTCGACCATTATATGGTCTACGTTCACTCTCACAAGGTAGGGCTTTCTGAGCTTTCATCAATGCATCAAGGAGGAAGATGGTTACAGAGATTTAAAATAAAAGCTAAGGTATTTCACTTTCTCTCTTTCACTTACAGTCTAAATTTTTGTACCCTTCTCTGTTTTACACTTCACTTGTTAAAGCAGTAAAAGATTGGGGTAGGTACAACTTGTTATGGTAAAATGTGTAAGACTATCAAGTAAAACCGTGAAACTTTTGTATAATCTCAATTATTACACATTCCAGAACCATAAACATTCAACCTATCCATTATACAAAAGTTTGTACAATTTAACTAGCTCTAAGGGACAGTGAAAAAGTAATGAAAGCAGACCAATAATTAGTCATAATTTGGCTGATTTTTTCAAGATCTGCTATATTTCCTAAAGACGGCAACGATAATATTTGACAAAGAAGGGAATTGGAGATAATTTAATGAGGTGGAATCAATCACTTGTGATTTGGTGATTGATGGTAGGTTTTGTTCCCATTTATTTGTTAAACAAAATCAAGGAGGGATCAAGTTTTCTCAGGAACTCAAAGATATAGTCCCATAAGATAACGTTGGCGATTCTGAAGCTAAACAATCTTCTAAACAATCTTCTGATTGAGTCCTCACATCTTGGTGGATGGTTTTGTTTTGTAGTTAGCTCAATATTATCGTTGGCTTTTATTACTCTTAATGTTCCCCATTGAGCCTATTCTATATTTTGTTTTTTCTTTTTTTCTCTCACTCCTCTGAGAGTTTGTATTCTCAAACTTTTTCTCTTTTCATATATTAATGAAAAGTTGTTTCTTGTTAAAAAAAAAAAAAGAGGGATGCTGCTGTCTGGATTTTCTGCCATCATTGAGTTGAATGAGGGTCTTGTTCTTTTACATTATTTCTCAAACTGAAGGCAGGGATTTCGCGAACTCCAACTTTGTTTGAGAAGTCTCTAAAAGTTGCCTTGGCAAGGGGCTTGGTGAAGATACTTGCAAGTTGTTGGTGAGATAGACACATATCGAGTGACTAATAAATAATGATCCAAGTGCTACCTTCTCTCGTACAAAGTGATAGTCAAGTTCAAACAGTATGAGCATGGAAAACTGGGTTCTTGGACATTTGAATGGCACTCGTGTTATCGCATAATTGCTCTGGAGGTTCATGTAGAGGTATTCCCATGTTACGAAAGAGAAATGTGATCCATGTGAGTTCAGTTGCTGCATTTTTATAACTCAAATTGGCTGTATCTCTGTTTGAAAAAAATAAAATAAAAGTAAACCCTCTTAATAATTTAAAACTTATCAAAACTTGCTTGAAACAGAGAAGTTCCACCAGATTGTCTACTTCAAGTAAATAGCTAAGTCATGTATATTAATCGAGTTTGTTCTATTGAATGTATGTTATTCAGGTAAAGAGGTACTTTGAGTATTCAAACTCAAATGGCACAGTGCCCGAAATATGGTGTCAAGTCTCACAGAAGTTACCTCTAATTAAGCTAATGATCAATCGGGAAAAGAGGCTCATTCAGAGAGATGTTAACGAACCAGATTGCTCTTGTCCCTGTTCAAACCAAACTGGCATCAGGGCCATACTATAATCCTTTATTTACAAATTGCTGGGAGAATCCAAGTCACTCTACAAATGGCACGCCAGCTGCGAGACTTCTGAGTTGGAGGTAATTGACGGCTATATGTCTGACTTCTCGTATTCCTCAGTTAAGCTGGCTCTTCTTCTAACCAAGTAGGTAGAGGTTGCCATATTTATATGCCTATTCAACTTTTACTTTGCTTCCCTTTACTCTTTACGGCTTTGTTGGTTATGTAGAGAACATAGCCATACAAAAATCTGGTAATATTTGTAATCATTTTTTCATTTTGTGTGCATTGTACAGAATAAGGATATGTTTAATCCTCCCATTTTCAACTGAAGTTGTTTTCTTCCCCTTTTCCCTTAGTTGTAGTAGGCTTGAGAGAGACAGTGGGGCATTAGAAACATGTCCAACAAGCAACTTGGTCTTGTACTTGGTAAATTTTATATGTACTGTAGATTATATTTTAGATCACTTTTCACTATCTTTCAATGTTTTTGGGTGGTGATGTTGGTAGCTAAAAGGAGGAGGCCTTTTTTTTTTTCTTTTTTTTTTCCTCTCTCTTTCTTTCTTTTTTTGCATATTCCAAACCTGCATGGCTGCTATAGCTGTATTCATTCAATGAATGCATACTATGTATGATTTGGTGATTGCTTTGAGTTATTGAAGCAATTTGACGCAGCAGGGTGCAAAACTAAATCAACTATGTGTTTTCTGCCACCAAATGTTGTAAGACCAGACATGTATCATGTGAGATTAGTTGAGGGACCGCAAGATAGCCTGAATACTCACAAAAAAAATTGTTTACTGAAAAAGCAAGGTTCCCAACCCAACGGTCCATTTTTATTATTTATATTTTGTTTATGGATTCGAATCCCACATTAAGCACAACCTCATATTTAGTTGCACGTTGAGATTAGAACTCTAAATCACAGAAAAAGAAGTTAAACTGCAAAACAGCTTGAGCCTCTTTGCAGAATATTGCTCACGTCCAAATGTCTTAAAATGTTATATACGTGACAAATAATAAGTAATGAAATAAATACTAAACATAGCTCTATGAATAAGGTATAATACCATCACAAAAACTTATAGTTCGTTGGACTTGAATCGGGTTCAACTTGGAGGCCATTTCAACTATCTCCTTCTCAAATCATGCAAGTGAAGATGACAAACAGATTGACCTATTCACACACACAGAGTAAGAACAGAGGAACATCGTGAAAAAAAGATATGTTTTGGTGTGGCTTATAGTTTACAAGCAGTTGCACCACAATTGATGACTACATGAAATCCTATAACAAAGTTCACAATCACGCGTTGGTTTCTTTTAGTCTTTGTAATTGTTCATTTTGATCTCTACACTTCTAACTCATATTCATTTTAGTTTCTATAAAAAATGTTCATTTTGATCCCTATACTTTCGAAAAAGTGATTATTTTAGTCACTTCGCAAAAATTTAACACAAGTTTTATATATAATAGAACTTTTTAGTATAAAGTAATGTTTATATTTTAAGAAATATATTGATTGAAGTGTCGTGTTGAAATTGTGATAGAAAAAATTATATGAAAAATAAAATTAAGGAATCAAAATGATGACTTTTTAAAAGTATAGAGACCAAAATTTACATTTTGAAAATACAGGACCTAAATAAACCAAAGTTGAAAGTAGAACAAACTAGTATTATAATATATATATATTTTTTGTTAAAATTACAATTAAAGTTAGATTCTAATAATTTTTTAATTAAAATTTATTCATGTCAACTCTAAAATTTAAAATTTAAGTTATATTTTATGAAGATTTTTAAAAATTAAATGGGTTGTGATTATAATTATATATTATTTATTTATTTTTATTTTTATTTTTATTGCATAATTTTATAACTCTATTTAAGTAATTATAAAATTATTTTAATTTAAAAATAAAATATATTTTCTAGCTTTTCAAAATTCACTATATTCAAAATAAAACAATACATATTAAAGATTATTTTAGTTGCGTCTAATTTAAAAATTAAAAATCTTTTTAATATATATTTTATTTTAGCAATTTCAAAATACAATACAATTTATTTTGTTATTTTGAATATAGCTAATTTGAAAAATAAAAATATTATTTTATTTGAATATTTGTGTGATATCTTTGTCTTTATAAATTCAAAATAAGTTATTCTTATTTTAAAAGCCATTGGTTTAAAATTATATATAAACAAACTATAATTATTTAAACATATATATAAGAAAGAATAATAATTAAAATAATAATAATAATTTGAATAATTAAAAATTAGAAGGGGAGAGATGGAAAAAAAAGTATAATTGCATAGAACGAAATAGTTGACTAAGAGCTTGGTCACATTTATTGATAGCATTGATAACCGTACGATCATATATCTTTTCCAAAATATGAAACTTTGTTGATGAATTTTATAAAAAGATGAAAAAATTGAAAGCTTTTTTTTTTTTAATTTTTAGAGGAAAAATGTTTGTATGTATATTTTTTAATTTCTTCCTTGACTTAAATGAGGCAGAAAACTTAGAGAATAAATTCTTGTGATTGTATTTATAGAAGAGGTTTAAGGAATTCCTTCTTTAAATCGGAATCAATTCACTAGATCAAGCGAAAAGTATATGCATACATTTGTTGAGCGAAAGATTTTAGATTTTTAGGACAAGTAAATCATAACTTTTGACGTTGCATTCTATGTTACTTGAACTCTATTTCCCTTTTTTGGAGGTTTAGTATCACCTTCGGCTTTTTATACCGATTCGTGATTTGAATAGGGACATGGTTATAGTTGATTTTGAGCACAAATCAATGTCAAGATCAACCAACCAATTTTCAAATAGTTTGAATTGAATATTTGAGTCAGTTTGTGAGAATTGACTGGATGAGTGTTATCGAGGCAGGGCCCCATCAATTTCATGGGGTCGAGGCTGAGATTTCCGTTGGGAAGTAGAAACTACTAGAGAGGGAATTATTCTCCATTTATTTACCTTTTTTTTTTTTAAGAAAGTTATCAATTATATGTTAATTCTTTATGGATAATCTCCATTTAAATAGTTAAATCCTCACCAGAAATCTCCCCTTTAAAAGGAAAAATTCTTAAATTTTATAAAGAGTGATTCACCTAATTCATAAACTAACAAATTCAAAAATTTATACTTGATAATTTAAATTACAAATACAAATATGCCTCAAAATGTAACCATCACAACAATATCTCATAAATCTCATATACAAATATTTAGGTTTATAATTTTAAAAAAATATATATCATAGGAATAATACACATGGAGTCGAGACATGAAACGCATTTAGGTCACGGGACGGGGCGGAGATTAGGGCGAGTATGCAGATCCGTCCTCAAGTGAGAAAAGTAACACCCTACTTTTATGAGAAATTTGCGTGAGATTTTGAAATAGTGTCATTTTGAACATGCAAAAAGGTGTTGCTTTCAAGTTGAAAAATTTGAACTCTTATAGTTCCTATTCAATATGAACTGATGCAAATTGCTAATTGGCAATATTTCTTTTCCTTTTGATTACTCATCTTTTGCTTCAAATTATAGGTTACAACTCATTATTTGTTACAAATGTGCCTAATTAATCAAAATTTACCCTAATACCTAAGAGTTACAATTTTTTTACTTAGCAGCTTTTATTTATTTTTTTGCCAATAAATTAAGTAATTAGTAAGGTACTATACTTTTAGTTTTCCTACTTAAAAAATTCAAGAAAAGGCCTCACATGGAAGGCCTCACATGGAAGAACTGTGTGTAAGACATCGAGAACCTTTTGAATCACTACATTACTTGATTCAAATGGTTCTCACAAAAGCCAAATGTACGAGGAAGTCCAATTCATTTTTTTTTATTTAACTTAAGATTAAAAAAAAGACTTCTTTTTTTATTGTGCAACGAACGATTTAAAAAATAATTATTATAGTATTGCCGTTTCATTTTTTTTTTATGAAAACTATCTAGCAAAATAATTAGATAAAATAACTTCGACCTTGTCAACCTGTAGATAGTATCGAGATTTAGTCCAAACACAGCTTACTATACCAAACCATATGGGTTCAAATGATCCTTACTCCGACTTGAACCGACCCGACCCGCTTACACCGAAATCGAGAATTGACATAAAAAGAAGAGAGGGGACTCGAGAGCCACACCCTAGACAGGCCAGAATCGGCAGTGCGGTGGCCATGTGTTGTAGGACCCAAAACCCATCTGGTTAAAAATAGACCATTTCAATTCAAAAAACACACCGAAGGGACATCAAAAAAGATTCCTAATCACAGACACAACGGTCCAAATGGGACAGCCTTGGTCCTTTCTCTGTAATTAATAACCACATTCGCTTCTTCTCTAAGAAACAGCATATTCCATTTCAGAACTGCCATGGCTCTGGATTCTGATTTCTAAAACAGGGTATGAAAAAACCCCTTTTCTCCAGCAGTTTCATGTTCATTGTAGATCAAAAGAAAGAACCCAGATCATGAATTGGATCCATCTTCTATACATATATGACATATATATTGGATTCAGAAGTTATGCAGTGAAAATCAAACACAAGTTGTTTATATAAATCAAATGAAAGAACCCACAAAACAGAAGCAGAGTGTTAATTTGGAGTATCATCATCAAACATATCCTAACATTTAATCCAAAAAAGGAACAAAAACCCAAAAGGAAAAAAGGGAAAAAAAACCTGCTGCCGTTGTTGAGAAGTCTAGATGAGAACTATGCAAGATCTGACCTTCAACCTCCATCTCTGAATCTTCATCAATCTCTTCATCCATGGGTGTTGACAGCTTCCCAGAGCAAGTTCTTGGGGACAGGATTGGTGAGGTCTCTGGCCTGCAGGGCGGCTGTTCTAAGAGTCTTGATGGTGCGGGCATTAGCAGCCCAAAACGTCAAGCTTCTGTAAGGGAGATTGTGCTTCTTGCAAAGCTCCACAACAATGGGAGAGATCTTCCTCAGCTGGCATCTGGGCATTCGAGGAAACAAATGGTGCTCCAGCTGAAACTGCAATCCACCAAAGAACCAGTCCATCCACGAGGAGCAATCAATGTCCAAAGTCCCGCCGGTCTGCTTCTCGAACCAGTCGTTGCCGGTGGGCTTCCCGACGTACACATCAGCGGAGAAATGGTTGAGGCAGAACTGGATGTGCTGGAGAGAAGTCACAGCGAAGCTAGCAAGAACAAACATGACCCTCTCAGGCCAATTGGGGAGGTACGAGACCAAAAGAGGAAACCAAGTCCAGAAAACAAGAATCCCCATGATGTTCAATGCTCTATCAGGGACTTTTCTAGTGGAGAACAAGAGAAGCAAAGTCTGCACGAAGAGATTCACTCTGGCCACACACATCACAGGGTAGAATGTGAAATGCTGGTAACTAACGAAGAATCTAGCCAAGGGATCGAAATTCAGCTTCCTACCATAGAAATGGGATGTCAAAGAGCGGAAGAATCGAGCAGAAACAGCAAAAACAGGGATGTGTTGAAGATCAGGGTCATGGTCCAGGCTATTACAAGAGATATGGTGGGCATTGTGAGTCCATTTCCACCAAGCGATGCTGATTCCAGTCAAGCAATTACCAGAGAGAAGTTGAGCCAATTTGTTGAACCCACGGCTCGACATTACATTAGAATGCCCAGAATCATGCCCCACATAAGCGCTCTGGATCCACAGCATACCCAAAAGCATAGCGGAACCCAAATGGACCAAAACGCTCTCACATTTCACAACCCCATACACCACAAAGCACATCATTATAGCAACAGAAATCAAAGAATACATAGTCACATGCCCTTTCTTCTCGAACAAACCTTGCTTGGAGAATTCCGCCGCCAGTCGCCGGTAGTCCTTGGAAATCTCCGACACCTCGAAATCCTCAAGGTAGAATCCGGTGAAGAGGCGGTCGAGGTACGCCCAGGCGGTGCCGGGATGGTACGCGATGAACGCATCGGTGACGTCGTTGCCGGCCAAATTGAGGAGCGGCTCGTCGCCGCCGGGGTGCTCCTTGGCCCAATCGGAGACATTGTACACCTTGCCCTTGATCGAGATCCACAGATCTCCGGGTTTGTTGTGCTTCCGAAGCTCTGCCGACGAAATGTACTTCTTCTCGGCCTCCATATCCGAATCCGAAGCAGATCCTTCAAAATTGCGGCAATGGGGGGAGGGGGGTACGAATCAAACCAAGAAAAAACCTCCTTCAAACGTGAAATTTGGGCGCTGTGGGGTTGCGTTTGTGGAGGAAAATGCAACCCTCCCGGTTTGGAGAGAGGGAAAATTTGGATTCGTTGTTTTCAGAATCGAGATTTTGGTGAGCCCCTCTTACTCTAAATTTGCGTTATGCATTTGGGGATTTAATATAGAAAAGAAAAAAACTGAATCATCGGAGGAAGAACGAACGAGAGGTGGTGCTTGTTAACAGCGAAGTACACGGTAGAAAACACCTGTTGGCTGTGACTCGCGTTTTAACCTCACCCGCAGGTCAAGATCCTGACCTTTTTCTTTCTATAAAAAAACAAAATAATATAAATACTAATATCTATTTAATGGTTGTTTTGTTTTGTTTCACCAGTTAAATTACCAAATATTCATAACAAATGGAACATTTGACGGCGGTTCTTAATTCTTTTTAAAAATAAAAAAATAATAATGATAGTACAATATGGGTGCTCTTCAAAGCGACTCTTTATTATTTTCAAATTTTTATTTAGATTGCGAATATATTTTCTTTCTTTTTTTTGTCTCTAAATCGAATAAGAAGATAAAAAAGATTGGATTAGATTTTAAAAATGCTTACCTATAAAAATAAAGCAGGTTAAATTTATGAGATTTATTCTCAAAAAAAAAAAAAGATTTATCATGTTTGAGAGGGAATGATTTTCAAATTTATAGGGGTCGGATCAATTAATTTTATTTATTAGTTTTTATTAAACATTGTGAAAAAGGAATAAACTCTCTTATTTCTCATTGTTCCCATCTTGTTTTAGTAAGCCAGTGGACGTTAAAGAATTTGTCTAGGGTTCGTGTATTCAATTTAATTTAATGTTAATTGTATTATTTAAGAATTGAAAAGTTCAAATATTTCATTTTTTTCATAATCTCCAACCTTTTATCAAATATATATATCGTTGATACATAAATTTAACCTATTGAAATTACCAAAATTACAACACTCTTGGATGAAACTTGTAAAATAGAAAAATTACACACATGGATTGTGTTAGTTTAAGTCAGAATCCAGATTTTATGTGATTCTCTGTAGGAATGAAAAATTCAAAACCACCATGATATTTTCTCCTTTTAAATTTTTTAAATAAATCAAATTTAAATTAGATAAAATAAATTTTTTTTCCTATCATAGCATATATCTTAACCCGTTGAAATTTGAGTTTGTCCAACTATCTTTNATTTGATTAACATTATTAACAAAACTATATAAAATCTTTTAAATGATAAACAAACACAACCATCAAAATTTAAATATTAAATTAATAATATAAGTCTCTTTTTCTTTTTCTTTTTTTCCCTTTTAAAAAGAAGATAATAGGAGTCGGTTAATTGAACCAATAAACAACTACTCTTGCGTAACGTGCAGTGTCATGCGTGGTGGGGAGAGGACCACGTCAACTAAAATCGTGGAGAGATATGATTAAAAAATGGACGGCTGTGATGAGAGGGCAGAAAATATTACTGTGGAGAGCGACGCAGAATATTATTATTCTTGGAGCCGTTGATATTTTCATATTTTTGCTTTTAAATTCAATATTTTGCAGAGATATTTTTGGAGGAAGTGCCAGTCATTCCCAGCTGTTCTCTTTCTTTTTTTATTTTTTATTTTTTAATTTTTGGAAAAAAAAAAGTTTAATTCTGTTTTACAATTGGTTTTGTGTATTGTAAGATGTTTGTTTGTCGATGATTTCTTTGATTTATTTTAATAATTTCGTTTTAAAATCTTAACGAAATATCCAAAAAAGAAAAAAAAAACTAGTTTTTGAAGTGAATTTTTTAAAAATTATAAACTTATTTAGAAAATAGTGTTTATCAACAATTTAGACTTTATTTAAGGATGATTTTAGTTTGTGATGGGTTCTTTTTTAAAAATTAAGTTTGTGAAAACTAGAGAAAATTTCTAGGAATGGTATATGTTGCCGATGGAATCGATTACATTTCAAGATATTTCATAAATTATGATGGAAAGAAATGAGATGGGAATGAAAATAAATATATCAAATTGGTCACTTTTAAAAGTGCGTGGATCAAAACGGATGTTATGAAAGTAGAATGACAAAAATGAACAAAAATCCAAATTCAAATATATAGGATGCAAAATAAATTTTAAATCTTATGATTACAATATAATTGGAACTTTAAAATGGATATACTGGAAACTCAACCAAAACAATCCTCCTTTCGAGTCGGGTATGATATGTGGGGTTGAGCTCGAGTTGGCATTTTTCACCCTACAATTATTTAGACAAAATAAAAAATTGACGCTTTCAAAAAATAATCTCATGCAACCACCAAACCGTCCACGTCTAACTAACTATAAGTTTCTAGAAAATAGATCCAGCCATTTATAGGTGTTAATTTTCACTACTTATTTAAATTCGATAATGACAATACTATATTTTGTATTTTGTAAGAGCCTTTTTTGTTTTTATTTCAAGAATGGAAAATAAATTATTCTACAAGAGCCCCTTTTCCTAAGAATGGAAAATTAAGTACTGTTATTTTACCCACTTGCAAACTAAACTTATTAATATTAATATTACTTATCCAAATTTTAAAAAGTGTTTAATAAGTCATTTATTAGATACTTTTTAAAAGTTATGAAAATCTATTATACACTTTTTAAAGTTGAAGTACTTTTAGGGGTCGTTGAACAATTTTAAATGTCTGGATCGAACTCGCAACCTCTTTATTGAAAATATATGTTAATTACCACTGAGCTATACTCGCTTTGGATTTTTAAAGTCAGATTTCTTTATATTAGAAACAAACTTATAATTTATTTTATCTTACAAACTTATTACCACAAATCCAGTCATTGAGGCAAGTGGTACATGATGAGCACCACAAATTGGGAAAGGAAAAAAAAGCAGTGAAGTATGTTGGGCCCATTTATTTTCTTGTTTTTTTTTTCATTATTTATTATTTATTTCTATTTTTATTTATTTATTTCTTTTATTTTTTTTTTGACAGGATTATTTTTTTCTTTCTAAAGAAATAAAAACAAAATAGTATTGAATAGTTGCCATTTTTATTTCTTATTCTACTCACAATAGTTATCAAAAACATTTTTGTTTCTTTTTTTTTTTAAATAAAAATATGTTTGATTACTATCTTTGCCTTTTGTTTTTTCAAGCATTAAATAAAAAAATAATTTTTTTCATGAAATTTATTTTTGAAATTAAAATTTTAAAAATATTATATTATATTTAATTTTTAAATATTTATTATACATTTTGTAGGTTAAAAGTAATAAAGTAATGTTTTTATTTTTATGTCTGAAAATTTGGGATGAGAATAACAAATAATTCTTTTTTGAAATTTGTATACAATGTTGGATTTTTTATTTTTATTTTTATTATTATTTTTTTTAAATGAGAAGCTATAAATAAGAGCAAATTTTATCAAACGACCCCAAAAAATGCAATTGTGCTAGGTCTATAAACCTACATTAAGTCCAATGTAAATAAGATTAAAAGCCAAAATTTGAAAATTATTATTTCAATCTTAGTTTTGTTTTTTGTTTTTTTTACTTATCCATCAATTGTTTTCAAAATCAAAGTCAAAATATTTATTAAAAAAGGAAAAAGTAGTTTTAAAAATTTTATTTTTATTTTGAAATTTTAGATAAAAATCAAGGTCCATTTTTGAAAAAGGCAAAAAACACATTAAAATAATTGTAAGGAAACTAACATAATTTGTTTTGAAACAAAAGATAAAAAAAGATATTATCAAACCGGGTCTAAGGTAGGAAGATTTCTCGCACATACACAAACTTATATATCTTCTACTGTGTTGAAAAGATGTAAAAAAATATATTAAAGAAATTGTAAAAAAAAAATAAATTTTTAGAAATAAAAAATTAAAAGGAAAATAGTTACCTAGATAAGTCTAAAAATTTAGATACAAAATTTGTAATGGGAGGACAGGAAAGGAGCTGTGAATGAATGAATTAAAAAAAAATTAATAATAATAAAATAAAATAAAAGTGGTTTGAAGAGTTCCTAAAAGGGAAAAATCTAAGGAAAGGGATTTGGGGTGGTGGGACTCACGTGCCTTTTCAAATGGGCCAAACGGCAATAAACAAAAATAATGGGAAAAAAAGAAAAGAAAAAGGGGGCAAAGAGAAAGTTTTATGATGGAGAGAGAACATGGAATGCCTTCCCAAATGGCCAGCTGGATCTATGATGACACACACAAAATTGCTCCACTCCCTTTTCAAGCCACGTTTTTCCTTTTTTTCTCTTTCAAAAAAGATATTTGTTGATGTCAAATTCTAACCGGAAGAACATAGAGAAGCGTATGAGCCGTTGTATATAAGGGAGCGAGGTATGCAAGGGAAGATATAAGAAAGATAGTATGACGTTCAACTCATTCGATCGATTGCTCTCAGGACAACGGATATTTATATGCGAAATTTAGTGGGCCCCACATCCTTATTTGTTATGGTAGTTCCAGAACATCTATACTCGGTTACAGATGGTTGTGCGGGATACCTCGATTTGGGCCTCAAGAGTACTTAAGGCCGACAATGACCATGTGAGCTATTTATGTTTACCTTACCAAGTTCGTAGTTCAACCATTGTCGGTTCGATCGAAATAGGATTTTCGGGATATTAGCGGACGTTTTTCATTCTTCACTCGGTCCAACGTTGCATTTCCAAAGTCAAAGTCTCCCCTTTCGTCATAAGGCGTGAAATTAGACTAAGGCTTGCGGTGAGTATAATAATAAATACTCATGATGAGTCCCCTTAACTTGTCCCGACTGCTGATCTTCTGGAGTAGTCCCAGCCTGGGCAACATAATGGTTTTGCCGTCGAAGGGTTGTTAGTCTTGCACGAAGTACATACTCCTTCTATTCACACTTTGACACATCATTGATATATTATTTTATTTCATGAGTCCACGTTGTTCATTTGGCAAGCAAAAAAATGGGAATAGTCCTGTATAGAAAGTTTTTGGCCATAAAGAGAAGGGAGAGGAAATGAAGTAAGTGCGTGAAATACCATATATGAGAGAAATCACAAAAAGGTATTTGTCATGGTTACGGGGCATATGGATTTTTGAATCTATATTTAACTAAATTTTCATCGACATGTCGATATTTTCAAACGTGGCATATCAATATTTTCGTAGCATTGCAAAGAAACTGATAAAATATCAACAAAATATCACTAATATAGATTTAATATTAATAATCACGCAGT